GGTTTACAGGCGATGTGGCCACTGGAAGTGCTTGTACATATCAAATAAATGCTTACTCACCAAGCCTTCAAAGATAGGCCCGTGGGTGTACACATGGATACATTTCAGAGCAGCAGCTGCTCTGCCAAGACTGGGCTGATGGCTGAGTCATGTTGGTCAAATGCTGAGACCGAGACATCGAGCTGATGAGTAGGCACAGTGCAGCAATAGAAAACCCTGATAGGGTGGGAAGCTGAAAAATCCCCAACCTCTTGAGGCTCTTCAGTGACCATTAATAAACCTTTTGATAGTGACAGGGTTCATAGAGCACTGCCAGAGACCAAAAATGTATCCGTGTAAAATGCTCAGAAAATATCTGAGGTTAGAAGCAGCAGCAGAGGAAGAGATAAACACTGATGAGGAAGATCTTGACTGCGTGACCCAGCCGAGACGTGAAGCAAACAAACACAAAGCAAACGGGTAGATGTGAAGTTTAGATCCTTCCAGCGAAGCAGAAATTGGAGTTACAGGTTAAAGGGAAGATCTGATGGATGGAATCTGAAGTTGTGTTTGTGCTCATGTGTGATTGTCAAGAGTGTCTGACTAAACTGGAGAATTATCTGAAGCAGGGCTGCCAACCTTTGAGTTCAGCTTGGAGTGAGATTTTTTTTGGTGAACCGAAAAAAGAAACGTTCATGTGTACAGTGTTACAAATGTATTGAACATGTACAAACTAGGGTTTCCCATTAATGTACCGGGCGCTACAGTGGAATACGCACACACACAGTGTACCCGCGACTACAATGAAGGCTCGATAATCTGCTCACAGCATATAAAATGGCATATCGGTGTAAGCAGAGGTAAAGTGATCTTTTTTTTGGGGGGGGGGACGGTGGACCTCACCTCCTCTAGGGGGGTCCGGGGGCTTGCTCCCCCGGGAAGATTTTTATTAAAATATTGAAGTAAAATTCATCAATCTGGTGCACTTTGAGAGCAAAATGAAGAGATAATAATAATACATTTGATTTATATAGCACACTTTAAAAACAACGTCATCTCAAGGTGCTTCACAAAGCTATAAGGAACAATAAGTAAAAAGTTATCTAAAGGAGCATATTGGATAAAATATGGCAATATAAAAATAAAAATAAAAGGTTAAGAGCATAGAAGGTTTAAAAATAAATAAAGTAAAGGACAGTCAGTAAAATGCGGTGTGGAACAGGTGGGTCTTGAGGCATTTCCTAAAAACTGAGAGTGATGCTGAGGTCCGTATGTTCTCTGGAAGCTGATTCCACAGACGTGGACCCAGGGAGGAGAAAGTACGGTTTCCCATGGTGACCAGTTTTGTCTGCGGGACAGCCAGGAGATTGGAGCTGTCTGACCTGAGTGTGCGTGAGGTATGTGAATGTTTTCTGGTTAGCAGTTCCTGTAGGTAGGTGGGGCCAGTGTGGTTGATGGCGTTGAAGACCATTATGAGGACTTTGTAGTTGATCCGGTGTGTTACAGGGAGCCAGTGGAGTGAATGAAGGATGGGGGTGATGTGCTCTGATTTGCGTGTTTTTGTGAGTATCCGGGCGGCACAGTTTTGTATATATTGTAGTCTCGGAGTGGTTTTTGCTGGAATGCCTGCAAGCAGAGAATTGCAGTAATCAATGCGGGAGGTGATGAAGGCATGGACCAGTTTTTCTGCATCCGGTTTGGTGAGGGAGTGTCGCATTTTGGAGATGTTTCTTAGGTGGTAGTATGAGGCTTGGTAGACTGTCTTTATGTGTGCTTGGAATGAAAGGGATGAGTCCAGTTTCACACCTAGGCTCGTTACAAGTGGGGAGAGGGGAATGGAGTGGCCATTGATGCTGATATGAGGGATATCAGTTTTTTGTGTTTGATGTGGTGTTCCAATCAGAATGGCCTCTGATTTGCTGCTATTTAGTTGGAGGGAGTTGTTGCTCATCCAGTGGTGTATGTGTTCCAGGCATCTTGAGACATTTGAAAGTGCCAGATGTTTATCCGGGGCAGTTTGGAAATAAATCTGTGTGTCATCAGCATATGTGTGGAAGCTGATGTTATGGCTCCTCAGTATTTGTCCCAGGGGCAACATGTAAATTAAAAAGAGCAGTGGCCCAAGGACTGACCCTTGGGGTACACCAGAGGTGACACAGTGTGTGTCGGAGGTGCTTTTTCCAAGACGGACATATTCCTGTCTTCCTTTGAGGTACGAGTGGAAAAAGTCCAGAGCCTTGCCAGCGATTCCCACCTCCTGGAGTCGCCGACACATGATGCGATGGTCAACAGTGTCAAATGCTGCACTTAAGTCCAGCAAGATGAGTAGGCTTGGGGAACCAGAGTCAGCCACCATCAGCAGGTCATTTAGAACCCTGACCAGAGCTGTTTCAGTGCTGTGAGCTGGTCTGAAACCAGACTGGAAGGTTTCATAGAGCTCATGAGTATGGAGATGTTCGTGAAGCTGAAGGGCAACAACTTTTTCCAGAACTTTTGCTAGAAAAGGCAGGTTTGAAATGGGGCGGTAGTTTGTGAGTACCTCAGGATCCAGATTGTGCTTCTTCAGGACAGGTGTGATGGCTGTCAGCTTGAGGGAGGGGGGGACCTCACCACTCAACAAGGATTTCTTAATTATGATGGTGGCAGTTGGAATAATGGATGGAGAGCAGGTTTTCAGTAGGGAGGTAGGGATAGGATCAAGGGCGCGGCTAGATGAGGTCATAGCTGAGATGATTTTTGAAAGCTCAGCTTGCGTGACCTCCGTGAAGCAGTTTAGGGTTGGTGCATTTGATGGAGCAAGTACAGGATGTTGTGGAGAGACAGGTTGGTTTGAGGAGGCTTTGGCGATGTTAAGCCTGATGTTTTCAATTTTTGTTTTAAAAACTTCCATAAAGCGGTTGCAGCCATCAGTTGTAGGAGTGGTTGATGAGGGATCACTAGGTTTGAGCAACCGATGTATTGTGGAGAATAGGTGCTTGGGTTTGTTTCGATTTGTCTCAATCAGATTCGAGTAGTAGGCTGACCTGGTTGCTCTCAATGCCGAGGAATAGGCCTTCTGGTGATCTCTAAAAGAGAGCAGGTGGACAGTTAGGCCAGTTTTCCTATATCTGCGCTCAATCTTCCGACCCTCTGATTTTTGCGCTCTGAGCTGGTCAGTGTACCATGGGGCAGAGCGATGGAAAGACACCACTCGGGTTATTTCAGGTGCCAGCCTGTCTAGGCACACATGCAGGGTGTTATTATACCGTTGCACATGCTCTTCAAGTGAGAGTGCAGCATGGGGCCTGGATAGGGAAGAGGAGAGGGCAGACGTTAGCTGACTATGGTCTATGTCCTTGGTCTTACGGAAGGTTATGGTACGTTTTTTGCCAGGATCCAATGGGTGAGACATGACATCCAGCAGCACCATCCGGTGGTCTGACATGCCAAGCTCAAAAGTGTGGGTTTTGGTAACTGTGACATCACCAGTGATGGCAAGATCAAGGGTGTGGCCATGTTTATGAGTAGGCTCTTGTATATGTTGGGTAAGCGGGAGACAGTCCAGGAGGTTGAGGAAGTCTGTGGCCAGTGAGCACTTAGGGGCATCAACATGAATGTTAAAGTCCCCAAGGATAACCAGCCTGGTGAAAGTAGGGCATATACAGTAGTTGTGAGTAGGCTTGAGAAGTCTGAGATGAAGGTTTTATTTGCCTTTGGTGGTCTATAGATAGAGACGATTAGTAGGGGTTCTGGAGCTAGGCATTTAGCAGCTAGACACTCAAATGATGGCAGATCAGGAACCCGGATTTCAGCCATGCCAAAAGTTTCCCGATAAATAAGCGCTAGCCCCCCACCACGCCCGGAGTTGCGTGCTTTCTCAAAGTATTTATATCCTGGAGGTGTAGCCTCATTTAAGGAGAGATAGTCACCATTTTTATGCCAAGTTTCACTAAGACATAAAAAGTCAATGTTAATGAGATCTATGGATACATCTCTCAACACCCATATGAAACAGAACTGTAAGCAGATTTTCTTTTTCTTTATGGATATTTTACAAATCACTTCCCTTTTAAACTGTATTCTTGTTTTACTGTCAATCATTTCATAACTGTTTTTCATTTATTCTCATAAATGGTGACCAATTTAACTGTTTGAGACCCACTGAGATAACTAGACTAAAGTTAACTATCTAAACACTCAGAGAGTCCCTTACCTCACTGAGCTGTAGTTATCTCTCTCAGTCTGATAGGAGAGAGCTCTCTCTCTCCTTGTTTTAGAAACAGCTTCTAATATCCGTTAGCGCAGCTAGCTAACCAGATGCTAACAACAACAATGCAAATAGTGAGTTTTTGTTAGAAATATACTGTATAATTGTAAAGTTATTCAAGATAATATTTATTGAAGATTTACATTATAAATATTCCCCAATATTATTCAAAAGCATATTCTTCAAAACTCTCTGCTGTAGTATGACCAAGAGGAGACTATTGATGTGTGTGGTGAGTTTGGTAGTAATAAGCTGTATAATAGTGATTAAATATTATTGTATTCTCTTTTTTCGGAGTTGCACTTTGCAGACGGTCCCTGAGCACTCGTTTCTTCTCCGGCTGCGGATAGAGACCTAATGTGTCCAGCTCGGAGGACGGCGCGTATTGCCTTTTTTTTATCAAAATGTGATTGTAGTTCGTTGTCAACCTTACCACGGTACTTAGACGTCATTTGTGTCTGAATAACGTTTTGTTCATGAGTTATTGATCCGTGAAATCCGAATCTCCCAATATCGTTCCAACTTTAATGAACTAAGCCAGAAGACTGTCTCATTTCGTAGACCGCTCGGTTTGCTGTTCCTTCACTTTATTTTTATATTCATTTATTTTGGACGAAAACTTAGCGTGAGGAAAGGCATGTGTGGCGTGAGTGCGTGAGATATGGGTTAATTGCGTGACTCTCACGCTCAATGCGTGAGGGTTGGCAGCCCTGGTCTGAAGAGACAGGTGCCACATTTTGCTTGGGATTTCTCTTAAAGAGACTAGAAACCAAACTGCTTTTTGTATTTCTTTAATAAAAACTGGAAAGTATAAATAAAAAACATCAAAGTAATTTAAACTGACTTTTTTTAAAATTTGTATTAAAGTCCTCCCGTTTGTGTCTTTTGTGAGTGAACACCAGAACATCACTCGTCAATGAGGAGGTTGACGAGGGCGGTCCTGGGGGAGAGGATGAATCTCTTGATGCTGCGCCCGCCAAGATGCTTCTGCACCAACGGGCTCTCCAAGATAAGCTGCTGCACTCGCTTCGAATCTTTGGACACCTGCAGAGGCACGGTCACTCTCCCACAGGCCTTGTTGTTAATCTGAGGATGAAAAATGAAGAATGAGTCAAATGTTCCACTTTAATCTCCGTCTGAAAGCAGTTTTGCCCTGTCAGACTCTACATAAACTCTTCCTTCCTGGCATAAAGGGTCCCAAAATAACAGACTCCACCTCTCCTTCCACACAGTGAACCCTTAAAACACATAGTTAGTGGTAGGTATGGGAAGGGCACGCCGTCTTGTAATGTTTAGATGCATGTGTGCACAATTTGAATGTGTTCATGTATTTGGGGTGTGTGTGTGTGTGTGTGTGTGTGTGTGTGTGTGTGTGTGTGTGTGTGTGTGTGTGTGTGTGTGTGTGTGTGTGAGGCCTTTCAGCCTTGGCCTCCTTTCTGAGACAAACCCAAGTACATGATTAGAGGACATAGGGAGTGAGGTTGTCTCCAGAGGAAGCCCACAACAGAGAGCTCAGTCTGAGGTAAAACCAACATCATCTTCATCAACATCATCAAACACTGGATGCGTGTGTGTATAAGGGGAGACAGTGTGTGTAGAACTTGTGACTTGTGAAAGAGACGAACGAGTAAACAACAAGAATGCAATACCAAAGATGTGTAAAAGAGCGTTATCTTAACTCCCCGGCATGGCAAATATGATTATGGAGAGAACACAGCCTTACAATCACACACACTGCACACCTTCTCTCATTGCCTTTTCTGTCTCTCAATTAGAAAACAGAGGAAGAATCCAACCCCTGAAAGACAGGAGCTTTTAGTCAGCTGACTGTGTTTGCTATCATCACATCACATGTGAGTGTGTGTGTGTGTGTGTGTGTGTGATGTGATGATAGCGAACACAGTCAGCTGACTAAAAGCTCCTGTCTTTCAGGGGTTGGATTCTTCCTCTGTTTTCTAATTGAGAGACCAACCACACACACACACACACACACACACACACACACACACACACACACACACACACACACACACACACACACACACACACACACACACACACACACACACACACACACACACACACACACACACACACACACACACACACACACACACACACACACACACACACACACACACACACACACACACACACACACACACACACACACACACACACACACACACACACACACACACACACACACACACACACACACACACCACACACACACACACACACACACACACACACACACACACACACACACACACACACACACACACACACACACACACACACGCTCTCACACACACACTGTGTGTGTGTGTGTGAGAGCGAGATTAGCAGGGGGTACAACTCTCTAGAGAAAACAGACAGATTAAGAAGTTTCAGCTTTGATCTACTAACGAGTCCATATTCAGGACACTGTGAAGATGGGTGTGTGTGTGTGTGTGTGTGTGTGTGTGTGTGTGTGTGTGTGTGTGTGTGTGTGTGTGTGTGTGTGTTCATTCATGTGCCAGTGTGAGCATGTGTGAATCTTGGATCTGATCCAAGTTCATTTTATAAACCTTCACATCACAGCTGGATATTCTCTCTGATTGCCTTTCCACCTTTAACACTCGACAAACTCACTGGACACACACACACACACACACACAAACGCTGCCAAACCGATTGCTATTTGTGTGATTGTGCTCAGGGGCAGGAAAAAGGCAGAAATGAGGGTGAGTAACAGTGACTCAGGAATAACACAGTGGCTCCTTTACTGGCTTTTAATTATTGACCCACTTGTCTATTTAGCTTAAAGCACACCACTTGATATGCGGACGAATAAACACACATGTGCGGACACAGTTGAACACACACAAACTCACACAGGGTAATCACAGGCTCTCTTGAAAATTACAGACTATGAGACTTTGGGTTTAAGAGCGGAGAGTTCGGGTGAAAATGCCAGTGGGTGCAAGAGCAAATGTGTGCAGATAGCATTTAATAAGTAATGTATAAATAATGAGAAGATTGCTCTCTCTGAGTGAAACCCCTTTATGTTAAAAAATAAAAATGAACACAAGTGGAGCAATAACAATAATTTCTTCAGCACAACTTTGGCACAACTATTGTGAAATGCACACAACCAAAGAGATAATGCGAGATAATGAATAATGTGTATTTGTGTGAGTGTGACTTTACCAGTACAGACAGCTCCACAAAGTCAGGGACCTCCAGGTACTCGGGGTCTACAGTTGGCCAGACCTGTTGCAGGACGTCTCCTCCACGCTGCAGGATGGGGCTGAGGGGGTTCTCCACTTGACAAAGACCTGTGAGGAAACACAGAAGAACAACTTAAAAAAAATTATACCAACTCAGCCTAGGGGTGACAATAAATGGAAAAAGTACATAACAAACCAAATAAGTTGTGTTTTTTTTTTTTAAGAGAGTCAGATAACTTGCTGGGGATGACTTTTATATTTTCTTTTACTAAATTTGTTTTGGAAAATGTATCTTGATGAAAGGTTAAACAACAGCGCACCACTCCCTGTCCTGACTCTCATTCAAATCAGCAAGAGCACATCCCCTGCCAGGAGGAACAAGGGAAGGATATGAACTTCCCTTATTGTGAACTGTGCGAGTGAATTCAAAACAAGGCAAAAGTGAAAAAGGCAACGTGACTGAGTTCAGCAGAGGTCACATGTTCTTGCATATCCCGTTTATAAAACTACACGTGTGCACAAACAAAATGCACACAGCCCGTCGTTAAAAACATACAGGCCTCTTCCTCCCAAGGGTTATCCGTCAAGTTTTCCTGACTGCCACTATCAGCTGGACAATATGCTTTCCGGAACCTCTTTCCCGTCTGTCAGCTGTGTGCAGAGAGAGAGAGCTGGTGTACGTGTGTCATCGACAATAAGGGGATGTCCTCCCGGGCAGTGTGGGGGAAAGCTTATACATAAGGAACATAAGTGACGCTAGATCTTCGCTTGTGTGCTTTCTGCCCTTGGCCAGGAGTACTCAGTTTTGTTTGATGTACTGTGAGCATATTTAAGGTGAACTGTTGTATGGGACACAGATGAAAATATGACAGTGACACAACAGCTGCCGGTGACAGTTAGCGCTTACTCATATCAGATAAGTTCCTCTCACAGATATTAGAGGAAAAAAAAGTGTTCACCAAAAACCAAAAATGCATTTGTCAATGTGTCACTGTACAAAATAACCAATATAACCCCATTGATATTCAGAGTCTAAAACAAAACTAAATAAATCAACAATGTACATTTAGTGCAAGATGCAGCATCTCCTGGTTTGGGATGAGACGATATATGTTTTAAATCTGTTATCTGTTCCTTATTTTATCTGCTCTTTGACATGTTCTTTCATCATTTATAACAAACATGTTATTCAGTTGGAAATATATTATTGGAAATATCCTGATAAGTTACTTTAAAAAAGCTGTATGGCTCATGATCATGATAAATAAGTGAAAAACAGAGCCTGATTAAAAACAAAATACAGGAATTATTACAGAGTAACACAATGTTGCTGTTTTTCATTTGTCCTTTATTTATTATTTTAGTTTTTTCACTCAAGAATGTTCACAAAAAAACAAATGTTTCCTTTTTGTGATGCAATTAAAATGTATCTAATTTATTTAGTAATGACATTTTGATAATGTCCCATGCCGAGACATATGATTAAGGAAGAATTTAGTACATGCTCTTTGAGTGTATTATTTATTACGCGTGAATAGTTTGTATGTCACTAACCTGCCCAAAGTTCAGAAGCCAGGTGAGGGGCCATGGGTGCTGTCATCATAACCAGCGCCGCCAGAGCTTCCTCAAACTCCACGCTGTGCTGCACCACCCCGACTGTCGCACTCTGAACACACAGTGGTAGAAATGGGATTTCCAGAGTGTTTTGTGACAAACAATAAATGTGACATCATTATTTCAAGGTACCGGAGGTCACACTCACACTCAGTGTATTGGTAAGTCCCATTAGCCGAGAAAGGGCAGCGTTGAAGTGGAACTCCTCTGTGAAGTGAGATGTCACCTGTAAATAAAAACGACAACAAAAATAAAACAGGTGACAGTTGTGTTAGTTACATCTATAAAGTTTAAGACGTTATATTTTGTTGTGGTTACTCGACATGTTGACGCCTCCATTGATTGACAGCATCATTCAATATTTTTCAATCTGGATTATTTCAAAATCAGTGACAGACTGGAAACAGGAGCCGCCCCCTGTTATCACCATGTGAACCGGCTGAAGGCACAGAGCATGTCAACACCGCCTTGCTTAGCCTTCTGGGAAGAAGAACCCATTTAGTAAGGGCCTCAGGGAGAAGGAGGTCGATCACCGAGGCTTTTCTGAGGGACAGATCAAAGGACAGCCTCGGCTTTGGGGGCTTATGGCAAACAGCCTGAGGTCCTTTAAAAGCACAGACCCTGAGGCGTGGAGACAGAATCAAACCTGGCAGCCAAAGGAGGCTATTTATAAAGTGTGAAAGGAGACGGAGTGGATTTAAAATCAATTTCCATCCCCTTCCTCTTCTACTCTTTACCCCAGGGGTTTCAGGTTGTGGTGTTTAGCATTGGATGGAAAGGCTGGAACTCAGGACTGTGTGCTGTTGGACCGAAATATATGAAAGATATTACCTCAGACCATACCATCATGCAGGAGCAACTGAGAAAAGACATCTTACCATGCCTTTCAACAGTACAGTCTATTTCGCTGGAAAAAGCCTAAGGAAAATGAATTATTTAATTTTGCACATTAAAAACAATAACTACAGACAATTGGCACTAGCGGAGGAATTAATTCAAAACCAAGGTTTGCAATGGAGTGATACACCCATTTTACTGAAAAAGATATACACCAACCTGCTGTGAAATGAGATTTTAAATGTTGACCCACTACTGACCCCTACTGGTAATGACTGTGGAAATGTCTAACTATTAAATAATGTCACAATGAGACATTTTGAGCCACTTATACCACACCACACCTCTTCAATAGCGTAATTCTTGTTCGCCCAGATCTTCTTTGTCTCTGCCAGCTCTTTCTTCTTCAGCAGGGAGGGACTGGGGGGATCTGCGAGTTGTCGAGCCCCCCTCAGCTTGGTCACCAGCTGCCAGAGCCGAGACTGCCAGCGCAGAACCCCGGGGAGTGCGTCCGCTAATGTGTGGAAGACACAGAAACAGAAGAAAAAAGAATTTAACGACAGCACAGTCAAGTAGTAAATATTGTGGGAGAAAGACCTTTTCAAACATTCTGCAAGATGTCATCTGAAAGCAACTGATCTAGCAATTCTTAAGGAGTGTATTCAATTTTAAGCAAATTCCTAATATGGGAAACAAAGAAAGAATTTTAAGATTTTGTACGAACACTGATGGTATAAAGATAAAGCAAAATCTAACAAAACTAAAGCGATCTGGCATCATTCTGAATTCATTTGATTCTAAATAGAAACTCAAGGTGGAAGTGTAGATTCAAAGGTTTTAATGTCATATGCACATAAGCTACAGTGTAGAAATGGCATGAAAATATTATGACCCGAGCTCCTCCAACGATGCAACGTATATAATAAAATACAAAAATACAAATAAGAATAGTGCAAGAAGTCTATATACACGTGAATAGAATATGATATATACAACAACAGAATGTAAAATTAAATATTGCGCATTAAGATGAAATTAAATACGGTTTATTTCGGTGATAACTATTTAGATAAATAAATAAATTGCAAGATGACAAACAGATGAATGTTTATCGAGGCACTTAACAGAGCTCAGGTGTTAGCAGTCTTATTGCCTGTGGGATTAAACTAATTGTAATTTTGCGACTCACTCTTGACATTCCAGAGGATGTCTTGTTCGGGTGGAGCGGCGTAGAGGATGTAGAGTCGAACCGTGTCCACGCCGTACTGCTGCACCACATCCTGGGGGTCCAGACCGTTGTTTTTAGACTTGCTCATCTTCTCCCACGTCACATCTATATCACCACCACCACGCATCACCGGCTCCGCATCTAGAAGAGGAATCAGTTTAGGTGTCAGTTGTGTTTTTTATTTCACTTAGGAAATATCTCTTGAATAAGATATTTGATGACGTTTAATGGTCTTCAAGGAGTTGTTAATGCTTCTATCACTTCTCGTGTGGATTATTATAATGATTTGTTTACATGCCTTGGCCAAACATGATTACGAGGATTCAGGGTTTTCAAAAGGTAGCCGAAACCAAATCTTGTAGGCATCATCATATCTCCCTTAGCTTCCACTCACTGGCTGACTGACCTATATTTCAATCTTGGATTTTAAGGGCCTGCGTGGTATAGCAGCCTGAACAATGACGTCTTCTGATAGGTTCCCTCTTTTTTATTATCACTCGAGATTCACAGTTTGGCTTTATTCATTTTCTCTCAAGCTTTCTTTTTTTACTCCTTGTACTTAAAGCCTTTTGTCAAGTTCGTTTATTGTTTCCTGCTGGCTCTTGTTTGATGCCTTTTTAGTAAAACACAGTAAAGAAAAGGACTAGTCAATCTGAGTACATAATACTGGGAAGCAATAGAGAGCATAAAGCAAATTGTAAGAGACGTCTTAGGTCTCTTCAAAAGGATTTCTTGTGATTGACTACTTGTCAGGAGTAGCTAGTAAGGAAAAGCTATAAAGCATAAAAAAGAGAGAGGTTGCTATCAGCAGCTTAAAATGGATGTTACTTTGATAAAAGAAGAAAAGGTTGTCATGACTCATTTTGATCTGGCACAGCCACGTGGAGGGAAACCCTGTCCTCCGTTGGAGATGTGTCACACTGACAAACATCCTTCAGTTTCACAACAGTGTGTACCTGTGAAGTCTATCTCTTCTCTCTTTAGGTACCGGCCGCTCTCCGCCTCTTTGAAAGTCTGGCCCTTGATCAGACCCTGGACCAGCAGTTTCCGAAAAGGCTCCCTAAAGGAAATGGAAACGGGTTAATTACCTCACAAATGTACGTGCACAGGAAAAGCGGATAAAACACTGTGTTCTGTACCTGTGGGCGACAAGACCCTGATCCTTGCAGAAGTGACAGAGGAAGCGAGCGTAGTACAAGTGCATGACAGCGTGCTCCTTCCCTCCTATGTAAACGTCCACAGGAAGCCAGTGATCCGCGAGCTGCCGCTCAAAAGGCCTGGAGGGGAAGAGCAAGTTTGAGGGAGCTGTCTCTGAAAGTATTTATTCTGAAAGAAGCTTCAAAATGAACTCTTGCTGTTGGACATCTTTGTGTCTACCTTAGATTCTCTGTCTTACTTTATGTAGAGGTTGTTTTCTTTTTTCTAATTGATCCACACTGGCTTTCACTGCATGCCCACTCCAACTAAATATTAATCATAGTAATCTGGAATGATGCCCTGTTCCCCAGAAAAAGAGCTTTGATAACATAAATATATGCTGGATGTATAACATTAAATCATAAGCATTTTAGTTTTATTATTATTGATTTAATATGTTATTTTGATTTTCCAGTTCTACAATTAATTTATCATGCTCCGAGTATCTGAGGAAATCTTACTGAAATCTAGGCTTTTGATTAGGAATGGTTCAATCTGTTTTAATAATCTTTAATATCATGGTACTTCTATAACTGTTTTTATAGATTTGTTGTGTATTTTATTCAATCTTATCATTTTATTGTTTTGAGTGCTTTGGTCTCAATTTGTTTATTTTGTTAACAGTTTTTGTTCTTTCTGTTCACTGTTTTTAGATCTGTTATTTCCAGCATGCCATTCATCTGAGAAGCCATTTGAAAGGCACAAAACTGTAAGAAAGATGATTTAAAAAATAAAGTTGATTGATTCTATGCTTTATTTGTTAATATAACTTAAAAAAAATAAATAGACAACAAATGTGTCTATTGTGGTGCATTTGATTGTATTTAATTTTCTGGACTTTTATTTGTCTTACTATGGAGTTAAACATCTTTGATATAAATTTCACAATGTAAAGCTCTTTGTATATCTTGTAACTCTGCTACTACAGTGCAATTATAGAAATAAAGTTTCATGTTAGATGAATAAGCAACAAATCATTTCCCAGCATTGTTCTTAAAAACCATTTGTGTGCTTCATACACACATACATACACTTCCTCTAGGGGGCAGGCTGAAACTGATCCAGGGATGAAGCGAGCAGAGGCCTCCTGGAGCTTCCTTTATCTCATTAGCTTATAGTCACACACACACACAGAAAACATCTGGTCAAGTAATATCTATTTCAATTTGGCTGTGAAGGTTTCCTCTAAACTCAGCATCTCATGTAAAAATAGTTTAGCATTTGTACATTTGAACTGAGACTGCTGGGTTTCTTTCAGATTTGGAGCAGCATGTGGTTAGTCTGACGGCATGACGGTCAGCGGAGGCAGGGATTCCACCTAATGATACTTTTTAGAGCAGTCTGCTATCTCTGGGTGTCACCTTTCACACCACTCATTACTCTCCTCCACTCTTCCCTGCCTTCACACTCCCTCTCCGGCTGATGGTGTCTCCGGATAATTGAACCAGGGAAAAAAGTTATGAACTCACATCGCTGAAAATAATTTAACCGGATTGTTGGCATCAGCCCAGGGAACTCTTATACATACCACACACACACTTCCATATAACACCCTCTCCCTATTTCCTTCCTCTTACTTGCTACTTTCAACATCTCCTGCTTCCTATATTATCGTTTCCCCTTGTGCACATAAGGCTCAGCAGGCTAACTGAAATTCACAAATAGTGTAATTGCTTTTTCTGTTGTGCCATAATCTGTCCCACTAAGAAAAGTGATGGGGAGAGCAGTCCCCGTCCTTTTAAAGCAGCTTTACAGCTAGGTCAGGGCACTGGGAAATGAATCTCTTTTGTTGAGCTCAGGGTATCGCTGCCATCCCAGCAGGTGACATCCATAGCTCCATAATCTCTATTGGCAGGGAATGCAAGTTCCAGGCAAGTGTGTGTGTGTGTGTGTGTGTGTGTGTGTGTGTGTGTGTGTGTGTGTGTGTGTGTGTGTGTGTGTGTGTGTGTGTGTGTGTGTGTGTGTGTGTGTGTGTGTGTGTGTGTGTGTGTGTGTGTGTGTGTGTGTGTGTGTGTGTGTGTGTGTGTGTGTGTGTGCACAGTAGTATATGCATGTTTTAAATGGGCAAGTGGGAGAGAGTGGGTGATCTTACCCTGAGCATGATTATGTGTTTGAGTACTTGTCAATGGTGCATATAGACCAAAGTGTGTATGTGGAAGTGCAATGTGTGTGTATGAGGCAAGAGAGATAATCACATTTCTGTAGACATAGCAGACATTACAAAGAATCTTTTTTGAAATATCTAAAAACAGGCAGATATGCTCACTGTCCACCCACTCCTGGAGAAAGAGCTTTTTCTTCTTTGTATTCGAACAAAGACGGTGTAAATAAGACGTGTGCAATTTGCGCTCAAATCTGTCACAGTGTGAGGAAACAGATGCAAAAGGAAAGATCTTGCATTATTGTGGCTTAAAAAAACTGTAAAAAAACAAGAAAGTAAAAGTTTCAGTAGGAGAATGTTCGTACCTGTCTGTGTTATGAGGGTCTGTGTATCTGAAGTAATACCAAGCCGAGTCAACAAACGTGTCCATGGTGTCAGTCTCCCTCCTGGCTGGGCCTTTACACCTGTCAGAGGAGACAAAGACGATTGTTAGAGGCGACACAACAATCAATATTAGGGTTGCTAAGTAGAATGCGAACAAATGAACGATCTCTGTTTGTATGCTAAGTGAAATGGCAGAGTATGTGATCTATTTGTGTGTGTAACGCTGGCTCCATCTGCATGTGGGGGTCATGTCCCTTTAGAGGAGCACAGCTGAAGCCAGGCTGGCACCGCAGCTCTGTTCCTGTGCCCTGACTAACAGGCTGAGCTAACACGGACCCAACTGGCAGGCCCAACACATGATCATGTGTTTGTGTTGGAAATGTCACCCCATGCCCCTTTCTATCCAAACCAAACAGCACTTGGGTACGTGATGTGAATCTACCCACACCCCTTCCACAGTGGAGGACGAGGACGTTTGCAAAGTTTTTCTGTTTGGATTTAAAAGCACTTAATGGAACGGTGAAAGCGCCTGCCTTTTACTTTATAATGAGTCTCAGTAGAGTTGAAATCAGCGTCCCAGAAAGATAAACAGAAGCAAAGCTCTGAGCTTCACTATGAGCAACAGAGCAAGTATCGTATCCTGGACCTTATGGGATGTCTCTGTTTAGTATGATTGTCTCTAACATTTTCACTCACACAAACATTCGTTTCACAGTCAAATGTTTTAATATCAAACTCACTAGCACAGCCACACACCCCTCGACCACACAGGTCTATAATGATCTGTGATGATAAGGTATGAGCTAAAGGTTGCCTAGCAACAAGGCTAAGGTGTAGCAAGGTTAATATTAAGAAGCCAGTTGTTATTTCATAATATAAAAAATCCAGCAGTATAATAAACTGTCACAAAAGAGTACAAAAATAGAAACTTCACAGAATGGGAAAAAAAAATCCCCAAAAATGTCTGCTTAAATGTGTGAGATTTGCTGCCTCCTCTCTCACAGCAGACTGTCCAAATCACAGGCCAGATTGTGGTCATTTGACAGGCAGCTGTTAGCATATACAGTCAGATCAGATTAGACAACACAGAGGGACTCTCTCTGGAGACGGCGCCCTTCTCTAACCCATGGAAAGAGCACAACAACAACAGAAGGTAAGTCCATCTAATGCAACCTGTATGCACAAGTGTGTTAATGAATGTGTGTTTGCAGGATGAGCCAGAAGGAGCCAAAAGGCTCTCGAACAGATGAGGCAAGAGAGGCAGCTGTCCACTCCACAAGTGGGCTCTTCGCATGAAAAATGGCCCTTGCTCCTTGTGCTGTGTGCGTCTGCAAATGTGTGTGCTGCACTAGCTAAGCGTTTCCCTTTTTACCTGTAAAATCATGGAACAACAACAACTATTATGCACACCTTCCAAGCCAGCCTAAGTCGAGCAGGGGGATTCAGCTGGCAGGCCAATTTACAGCGGGCCCGAGACCAGAGGAGTACACAGGAAATGACTTCCTCAAGGACAAATAAAACTCAATTTCTCATCACCCTGCTCGACCGTGTTCCACTCAAACTTTAATTGGACATGGTCGACGAGTGAAGAGAACACATTTCCAGAGACACTTAACAACGGAGGGGAGATGGGAAGAGAGGAGATAACGATGTCTTTGCGATTATAGCCATCAATCTCTACTGATGGGAGGATTTCAAGAAACTTTGTGGAAGTGACTGAACACAATCTGATGACTTGTGCCATCTGCGACTGAGTGGGCCGTTGTTTTAATCAACATGGTGCCAAGATGGTGATTAGTCTCATTCAGAGAGGAATTCCCATGTCAGCGAGGGACTCTGGAGACGCCGGCTGAACAGCAAACATTTTCATACGCAGTCACTCAGGTGACTTGCTGTGTGTGCACGTGCGTGTAGGTGTGTGTGTCTAATAAGGCCTCTGCACCAAAAGGCTGTTGTGTGTGTGTGTGTAAATGTACAGTTTTGCGTGCGTCTCACGAGGCACCGCAGGCTTATGTAACCTCCATCATCATCATCTCATGCTGCTCCTGTCACAGATGCCGCTCATTACACAACCCCATCAGAGCAAAAGTATTAATCACACAATCATAGGCTCGCTCTCAATGCTCTGTGTTCTTGTGAAGCTGTCAATCTTCTCAGCCTGCGCTGACAGCGGGCTCGTTTAGTCAGTGCTGATCTCCTGAGGAACTACAGGAAGTACGCAGGAGAGGGTTTACACATAATTCAATTCCCACTCCACAAACACCATAATGGACAGGATTATTGCCCAAATCGCTAAAGTCGTGCAAACAGCAAAACACACATCTTCGTTTTCCATTTCTGCTACAGCAAACGGCTGAATAGAGCTACTTATCCGCCGATGATTACAGTGCTACTGGAGGTGTCGGTGACTCAGTGACCCTCAAGAGCACTTAAGCGGGATGCTTTCTTACTATGCAAATGGTTAGAGTTGAAATGGTTATTATAAATCTGAGGTTATTTAGAGCTGGAGTGTGGGACATTAACATATAAACGAATGTTACATTCAAGCTCCAGCCGAACAAGTTCACATAATGCGGATTTGCAAAGGAAAGCTCAAGACATTAATGTGAAATTGTAATAATCAGCAGATGAATTATTGAGTTACGGCCAAAAACGTGCTTAATGAGTGGATTTTACCAGCACAATGTTATCTATTCACCCTTGAGTTGATATGGACGTTTGTGCCAAATTTGAAGAGATTCACAGAGATATCACAATCATGACAACGGGATGGAAGAATGTAAAACCCCGAAACCACAATACCTTCGGCCACAAATGTCACAAGCGTGTAACAATAATATTCAAAGTTATGATTATAGAATTGAAATACATTGATTGGCTTGAGGCTTGACTCCCTTGTGCATGGATGACATATAATTAGGGCTTATTGAGAGTCTTTTAATAATTCCCAATCAAAATTATCTACTTCAAAAATGCAAATAAAACGGCTAAATATTCCTTTTTTGTATAGTAATTAAAGGAATAACACAGAGTTTTTTCTCAGGATGTATTATGTTTAAGATGACACCAAACAGGACTGCATGGAAAAAGCATTAAAATACCTTTGTGTGTAATGTTCCAATAAAACTTTTAAATAAAACATGTCAGTGTTCTCACCTGGGACACTTGCAGTTGACCCAGTCGTGAGCTTCCTCCAGCGGTGAAGCGCCCTTTCCTTTGAGAGACGGCAGCTTTGGTAACGTAACAGGTAACTCCTCCTCAGGAACAGCAACTGGACCACAAGATCCACAATGCACCACGGGGATGGGTGTGCCCCAGTATCGCTGCCTTGATATCAACCAGTCCCGGAGCTTGGAGCTGGTGAGGTGTCCGCCCGTCTTCTGCTCTCTGGCCTTCTGGGTAATAGAGTCAAATGCTTGCTCTCTAGATAGTCCTGAGAACTACACCAAGAAGAGGAAATAGAGCATTTAACATTTTATTTTATTTATATATGTTTGTCGTGCGATTTTTACCAATGACCAAATTCCTTTTCCCAGTTCAAATATATGGTTAAAACTCACAAGATCTGAGAGGTGTATTTTTTTTAAGTGAGGAAAAACAGTATCAAAAGCCAAATATACCATCTTCTGACATGCAACAACACAGAAATGTGACGCCATTATAGCAGATCAAAGGCGACATATTGGTAACTTGATTAAAGTGATCGATTTCTCTAAGTTTGAAAGTTGTTAGACATTTTTGAGATAAAGTAATTACATATATATTCCTTACATACGTATATTTAGATATTTTAATGTTGAATGTTACATAAAATAGTCATTTGCATTTGATTGCAAGTGTTCTGGTCACCATCAACAGACCTCATCAGAGTTGATCAGAGTTTGGTTCCCGTCTTCGTCACTTTTCAGCACTGTCGTCCAGCTCAGGTTCAGAGCTCTGGCCACAGAAAGATCCTCCTCACTGCAGTCTGGGATACCTGTCAGACACAGATGCAGCATACACATGTAACACAGAAAAAACACAGACCCACACACATCAACAAATCTCTTGAGAGGTGAGCATGCTGTGCTGGACTAATAATTCAAATCTCTTGGGCTCCACTGCCACTCTCTGTGAGACAAACACCCACTGGCTTAACATCATTATGAACTTGAAAATACTGCATGAAAAAGACGTATAACAAAAGGATCAATCTTCAAAATGCTAGGTGTTTTAAGGCTCAATCTTTTTTTGCTTTAATATCAGCCGGGTTAGATACAGATTACTGTTTTTATTGACCAGATACGATTTCTAGATGATTATTGAACCCGCCCACACAGATAACCACCGGTAACTCACCGATCACGGTATCCAGATAGGCATCAAACGCCTCCTTGTGTGAGATGACCAGGGGAACCTCGTGGCCGGTGAACAGGTTGTGAGCGGTGACTTCTGTAAGGGAGTCTGGAGAGCAGGTGGAGGTGTGAGGGAGGCAGCGCTGCTTCACCTGGCAGCTCATTATACCATGATATTTAAATAAACATATTCACATTAACAAAGTCTCAAATGATGATATGGAATATAGGGAGACAAATACAGTACACATCTGTAATGAAATGTCGAAAAAAAGTGTAAGTCCTTCCTTCTTTATCTGAGGATTGATGGAGAGCAGCACCATTTCTGTTATCAGGCACTGCTCAATTAAGAACCCCCATAAGGAAAACGTTCATCTTCCCCCCCACCTAAAACAGGAAATCCTTGACAAGCCCAATCACAGAGTAGAGTCAGTGCGGAAGAGCTCACCTCTGCCTGGCTGGAAGGATTTCTCAAGGGCCGAGCGGACTGCGCTGCTACCGAGCAGCAGTCTGTGGGAGGGAAGGATGGAAAGGTAGGCTGCTCCGAACACAGACTCTGGAGAGGAGCTGTAGGCAGACAGGGTCTCCCCCGTGTCCTCCCCGTTCACCTGGGGGAGAAGACGAGAAGCAAGTATTCTAAAATATGATGACTTTAAAACACATTACAGGGTAAGCTAAAAATGCATTGTGTTACAGTTGTATGTAGAAATTGTGTTCACCATAGCACTGAAAGGTTCTCCTGTTTATTAAATATTGTCTTTGGAGAGCATGGCAATCAATTACACAATAAACACACATCATTAATAGCCTTGACACACAGAGCTGCTAGCATGGCTATTGTCTGTAGGCTTAGACCAATTAAGGTTGCTACAAGTACCTTGAGAAGAGATTTTTTTTGTTACAGTACAAATGATTAACAAATGATCTGATAAATTATCGGCTGGAGTCTCAATCTATTACCTCGAATCTTGCGTCTGAGATGTTACGCAAATGTGCCGTTAGTAGATCTTTGATAAATAATGAACTACAAAGTCTCTAATCCTATAATTATTTATAGATGACACACATATGATAGGGGGTTCCATGTATAAGTCATGTTGTAGAAAAGATAGTAATACATATTGACAGCCCCCTGGGGAGATAATGAGTGAAGGGTTCCTTTGACAATTTAAAATGATGTAATACAAGTCAAGCAGCCATTCAATTAACGTAACGACCCCTGGTTCTAACTTTAGTTATTCATTCTGCAAGAGAAATCCACTCCCATATACATACAGAAGGACACAAAAACAAAGTCTATAAGCTTTCCTATTTACAATTTATGAAATTAAAGGACTGACTTAAGTAACTTTTTTTCTGAATCTTTCTCCAGGTGAACAGGATAATAAGACTTTTGAATCATCAGACTTGTTTCGGTTGATTTCCACTTGCAGATCAATGAACCTGATGACCATGATAAACAAAGCGTAGATTTGTATGTTTTGGCAACTGAATTTTGGTAACAATACATGGATAAATACAGGTTTCCAAAATAAAAGCAAGCAATCAGTGCTCGGGGAGAAAGAGATGAAAAACAGGGGCTGGGAATGAGGAGAAAACAAGGAAACACTTAGTAGAAAAAGGTTGAGAGATTAAAAAGGAAGCAAGAATGATGAATGAATAAAAAGTGAGGAAGGGGGGGAAGGGAGCCGAGATTCACCTTGAGTTTGAAATCGAAGTAGCAGCCGGTGCACTCTCCAATCCAGTTTGCCTGCATGGCTTTGACACCGTACCACTCCGGCAGGTCGGCCAGGGCGTCCAGCAGCGGCTGCAGGAGGGAGGCAGGGACAAAGATTTGCAGAAGTTTAAAAAATATATAATTTTCCATTTCACTGTGGAAAATAGCTATTTTTTTTAAAGGTGGGGCAACTAGTTCCTCACACGTTTATGGCTGCCTAGGATAATGCAATTGACTCAGTGTGACCTCTTCCAAAGCCTGGCCAATTTATTTTTGACAAAGCAGCAGAGCCGACCAGGTCACATTATGCAGACAAAAGGGGATTTTCAAAAATCCTGACCTCCACTTGCCCTACTTTCTTTGATATCACAAAGCTATCGCCTATAAAGTGTACACTCTCTCTCTCTCTCTCACTCTCTCTCTTTCTCTCTCACACGAGTTACTCTGCATGATTAAAGGAAGCTATGCATATCAACGAGGCTCGGGCCACGAAGCCACAGCTGGGCAGAGGCCCGAGATGTTCGAACTCTCCATTTCCTTTTCAGACTGTCACAATCTATTACCCACAATCCCCCCTTACTGTGCCGCTCAGCATGCAGTACCTCATCACAGCGATATTGATAGGCACATAAACACTGGCTATAGTCATCACCTGCATGGCCGTGGAGTGTGTCGGTTATGGATTTACTCCAGAGTGGGAGAAAAAGAGGCTCTACAAACCAGCAGTGTATCTGTGTCAGCATGATGGAGAGACGCAGCAAAAACAGAGACTTTCCAAGCAGAAAGAGGAATGACAGATAACCGATGGTGGCTTTACAGTGAGAGGCAGTAAACATTTTCACTTGTCTGGATTTAAAAATATAGTTTTATAGAGAACCAGGGGTAACAGCAAGGACAGGAGTCTCCATGGCAACTAAGCAAAGCGTGTGAGAAAAGGGATTGTATAGCAATGACCGAGGATTGTATGAGCATGTGTGAGAAAGACGCATCAAGTACACCTTGGACTAAAATAATACATTATGCAGCAACACAAGGATATAAACCAGTAAGTCAACAGTGGTTTGTGGTTGAAGCTAGTCATGTGTTATAGAGGGAAAAGGCTTCGTAGAAATGCTAGACACAGCTAGATTTGAGTAGATTAAGCAACTTTTGGACTAAGTGCTGGTAGCTTCTTTCCTTGGAAAAGAGTTGATAAAACTGGAATGCGTTTATCATTTCATTTTGTAAAAATCTAGCTTTTTCTCGCTGGCTACTGCCATGTTACCTACCAACGTTACGATGTACCCAAATGATGCAAAACAGCCCTCATATTTGAATAATAATATTGCTGAGGAACACACTGAGCCCTCAGTTTGTGATTCATTTAGATGTCAGTGCAGTGCAGCAGGCAGGCGGCATGTGTGCCTGAGTGCAACAAGTTTGATTATGCATGAAATTGAAAACTCTGCTCCAGCAATGTGATCATTTCACATCCTGCCTGCTCCATCTTAGAAATAACATGCAGTCAACTATGTCCTGGAACAAACAATATGATTTAGATTCATGAAGAAACTCTTTCCGTTGAACTAGCTGACAGCTGAACTGATGACTGCTGAGTAAATATTGTCTGAGGTTAATGTTGTCTAACAGAGTGGAACACGTGTACAGGCGAGCAGAGAAACGCACACGCGGGAAATCAAAGTCCAATTACATCAAGCTAAGGTTTCACACGGTCGTCCTCTCACTCCATCTGTCTTTCTCACTTCTTTTCTTTAACACCTTCCTCTTCCTTCCTTCCCACTTCTCTATTCGTCAGGGAGAAATTAGAAATGCAGGAACACATTGTCACAGTAGGCAGCCTCCACCTCCTCTCACACCTCTGACATAGACAAGCATGGGCGGCTTCAGCGCTGCGGCTAAAACTGGGTGACGAGCTGACGTTTTAATCAAAGTGATACAATTAGCAAAGGAATTAACAAACCCTCTGAGGACCAAGTGTTTTTACATGTTCTATAAGAAATCACAAGTGTTCCATTATTGATGATCATTTTTCAAAGCAACAAGACTTAGATTGTTTCACATCCAACAGGCAGGTCTTTTCAATATCATTTTAGTACAGTATACAAATCTATGCTATACTTTCCTCTGCCTTTCCTTCATGTGGCAGCTGTTTGACCAAAGAAGACCTAAAATAATTTATATGATTAGTTGATCGATAAATAATCTGCAACTATGTTCATGTTCATGTCATTTTTCAAGCAGTTATGTCAGTTTCTCTGGTTTAGCTGCTGCTTTTCTGGGTTTTTTATTGTTTTTAACTGAATGTCTTCGGGTTTTGTTTTTTTTACATTTATTTTTTATTTGCATAAAATAATTACAGACCATCTTACATTTAAAAAAATGTTGAAATTATACAAAACAAATAATGTAAATCACGACACAAAATGTCTCTTTGCGTTTTACAAAATTGAGATGGGCATTTTCTTTTTCTTCTGCAAATTCACACGCCAGACCAATAGGAAAAAAATGATGATTTATAGATTGATTAATAATTACAATCCTTAGTTTCAGCAAAAACTTCTAAACTTAGAAAACAACTAACTTAAGATGTAATAGCCACTGTCTGTAAGTCAATGGTCTGGAAAAATGTGATTTCCCCATCTATATAAAACAAAAGCACTTTTCTCCTGTGCAGTGTGTCTGTTAGCACACGCACACCTTCATCTCCAACAATGCAAATGCATGTTCTGCATTGCATGAACCATCTTTCCTGTCGGTGAATCATATCACATCTCCGGGGGGGGGCTCATTTTGTCCTGCAGCAGGCCGGTTCTGTGCGCAATGGTGGAGGCTTCTCATCAGCTGGCCAGACCTCCTGGTGGCATTAACACGCCACCGCTGGTTTCTATCTACAAATGACGCTGTCCAGGGGTCTGATTGCAGAACCAGAGAGGCAGGACTGCAGCTGCTGCTTCTGAAGTGGCAGCCATGATTGTTATCAGTAGGGTCCCAATGCTCATTTTGGCCTTCATGAAGCTGCCGGCCAGCCATACAGGCACCACTGGTCACACACATCATGCAGAGCTCTCTCTCCCACACACACACAGACATACACACACATACTGCAAAGCCATACCTTGGCATAGTTTGTAGTCTTGATGAACCATTGTGTGAGCAGCTTCTGCTCCACCAGGGCGCCAGATCTCCAGGAGCGACCATTTTCATCCACCTGCTCATCAGCCAGCACCGTCTGATCCACAGGGTCCCAGTTCACCACCGCCTGGAAAACACACACACAAATGCAGATAAACAACACACACACAAATGCAGATAAACAACACACACACAAATGCAGATAAACACACATAGTTCAAAGGAAAAAAGAGCTTAGGAAGTAGTCTGGATTTAATAGACAGAGAAAAGGCTTATTTCAAGGTTGTCCCATTTCGTTAAACATTATTAAAAAGCTTCTAACAAGCTCTGCTATTTTCCATTCTTATTTTTTTGTCAAACCGTAATGGGTGAGCTGCCTCAATCATTCCTGTAACAGTCAGCGACCTCAAATCTAAACCAATCATACCATCCTTTCAGAAGGAAACCTGTATAAGCACTTTAGTGCAAAGGCCATTCCTACCTCTTTCTGATATGCCAGTCCTGCTTCGAAGAGCTTGACAAACAGATACTGCGTCCACCTGTAGTAGTCTGGAAGGCAAGTGGTGACTTCCTGTCGGGAAAAGCAGAGTCATGTCAGCAGTGGGTGGTGTGACGCATACAAGAGAGCAAATCAGATCTAAAAGCCGTACAGTCTGTTTGATGCTCAGTTCTACTTCACTTCCTACTCACCCGGTCCCAGTTGAAGCAAAGCCCGAGGCTGTCCAGCTGCTCCCGCATGGACTGGATATTACTGACGGCACAGAAAACAGCAATGTTAGGGTATGTTTAACAATTCACGCTTATAAGAACAGATGTGATATTTTCAACTACCTCTTCGTCCACTCCTCTGGGTCGAGACCTCGCTCAATGGCTGCATTTTCGGCCGGAAGTCCAAAAGCATCCCAACCCATCGGATTCAACACCTTTGGATTAAGTTATAAGATCTGTATTAGTCATGATAGCACTGTAAACAACAATATGGATAATCAACTCATTTCAAATCATTTAACATACAAACTATTCACTATTTTCAGCTCAAAATGTGAAGATTTGCTTTCTCATTGCAAAGTATTTTCAATTGTTATCACTACTTTTACAGACCAAATGATCAATATAAAAAGTATAGACTGATTCAGCCTGTATCAAGAACATTTGAAGTGAAAATAAGCCAAGATTATATGAATTTGAAATGAGAATTTACTAAATGTTTTGTTTTTTGATGTTCATTCACATACAGAGAAACGTCTGCCTTCAGTATATATATATATATATATATATATATTCTAGAGTCTAGTTTATCACTTTGCACAATAAAGGTCCAAAATCCTATTTTATTTGTATTTACTTGCACATCTCAAAACATTCTCTTGCACTATTTTTTCAGTTTTATTTGTTTTATGTCCTGTATATATTCATGTTGCACTGTTGGAGGAGCCTGTGACTTCAGTTTTTCGTTGCCATATCTACACTGTAGCTAATGTGCACATGACAATAAAGCCTTAAATCCTTGAATTGAATTGAACAACAAAAAAAAGCCAAGTGAACAATAGCAAACACATTTTTTGAGGGAGGGCTTTAAAGGTTTGAATGAGCAACCGCTTACTTTATAAAGTATGTGATGAGAGGATTTATGCAACAACCAATAACAGTAAAAATGAACCATGTTTTATTGCAGGAGGTAATTTATTCCGCAAAATAGCTCTGGGTTCCCCTAACTGCAGCACATGTTGACCCCTATATGATAATGCCTCAGCGGTGATCTCAACTCCATTACACATGGTAGTTAATGCATTTACACCAACTACAATGTTCATGTAATTGCAGCTGTTGCATTATGCAAAATAAGTGGAAAGCCATGTTGAGCTTAAAATGGGAGATCAGGATGTGACAGCTTTAAGCCTGATGCAAATGACTCAGTAATCTGTTTTACACACAGTGTCCGGAACAAAAACCACAATTTACTGTCACTTTCCCTTTGTCTGCTTTCTCCCTCTGTCCCTCTGTACTCTGTATCCACATTACCATCCAGCATACACCCTCCTTAACATAAGTCATTTTCTCCTCCAGACGACGTCTCGCTCACTCTTCTCTTTTTCCCCCTTAAGCGCTTCGGATGTGTCTTTCTGCTCCGAGAGAGAGAAATGAGATGAAAGCACAGGAGTGGAAGGCGGGAGTAAAGTAGAGGAGAGGCAGAGCGACAAGGAGTCGAGGACTGGAGAGGATCATCGCACGGACTCTAACGGGTCTGATGTTTCAGACGAATTGGTATCCTTGGTAACTGCCTCATTTGTAAAGCCGAGTGCTGGATGGCATTAGGATAAGAGCGCTCGGCACGGCAGACCACTGTGGCTCAGGAGGAATACAGGCACAGGCCAAAGAATAAAAAACATGCGTCTCATTAGGGTGGATATGCTACTATGTTGTTTATTAAGTGTACATTTGGAATTAAAGTGAGGCAGTATTCATGAAGGGAATTTTACAGGGTGCGCTTGTGATGGACAGGCTGCATTAGTGAGCTCAGTTCTCAAAGTTTAAAGAAAGCAGCAGAGGCAAACTATCTTTTCCCCGCTGATAGCTTCAGCTCCACTTATCCCTATGAATGCTAGGCTCTTCACCAACCCGTCATCATGGTACATTTCAGGGCTTGAGTGACAAGAGGCAGTGTAGGCACATTTTATGACAATCTGTCCTCTGTAATGTGGAGCGAATCAGTGCCAAGCTGAGGCAGATACATCACTCCATCGCTCCAGGATCCTCGCGTTGACGACAACAGGGACAGGCCGTGTTTGCTGACTGATTGTGTGAATGTGAGGCCACTCTGCTACATGCATGCATCCGCCCACACAGCTCCAGCCAGAGGCTTTACTCCATCTGTGGCAGCTTTGTAAAGCACGTCAACTGTTATCTCATCACACTAATCAATTCTAACCAGGCTCTGGTAATTGCATCAATATAAAACTGTCTTGTTAAGTAGCACAATGATACACAGGAGCCAATGTAAAACAAGCAGCTGTAGAGCAAAGGACAAGAAGAAGAGGAGCGTAAAGTCAATCCGTTTTCATTTTCATCTATAAAGGTTCATTTCAACCAGTTACTGAAGTAGATTTACCGTAGCGGTATCCAGGAATGCAGATCATTTTGGTTATATGAATAGTTTCGAACATACTGTTGAACACACTGATTCCCTTTTTGAGTTTAATGAGATTGATATCACCGTGCAGTTCATACTTAGCTACTGTCATCAGTTGGTTAGCTTAGCATGAAGACGGTAAATAGCTACCCTGACAACTTGGAAGGACACAATACCCTTTGGGTTTTCTGACCAATTAAACACATAATTGATTAGTGTTATAAGCAGCTTTAGAGCATCTGGTGGATTTGGTTACTGTTGGACAGAATAAAGATAGTATTCGCCGTTGACCTTATCTTGAGAATCCACAGATACTTTTTCTTCAGTATATAAATAAAATAAGATTTCCATATCTTCAAGGACATCACATAGCCTTTTTACCAAAGGACAATTTAACCCTCTGGACTTCTTGAGTAGAAAGTTGTCCATTTCTTAATCATCCAGTGATCAAAGGACAGTAAGGCAAGTCTGCCACTTAACTCATTAGAAACTCTATCATTACTCCATTGATGAGTTCTGGTCATAATAGATTACTGGACAACAGGAACATGGAGTCTGGGTACAAGCTTCTACTATTTTCTGATTTAAAAAGCCGAAAAATAGCTTGAGCGTGACAATCGACAGAGTGTACGTTCCTAATTAACTAGTGAATAAAGAAGCGGAACAAGGTTCCCTTCCTGACAGATGCTGAGAGAAAGTACACTCCTGGGCAGGAAGTAGTTGCCAGTCATGTGAAACCACGTTTCTGTTCGGGGAGAGACCAGACAGAAGCAGAAAGAGAAAATCCACCGGGGAAAGAAAACAGATACGTTTGTCACACTTCAGCTTGCCGACTGGGAGAAAGGGACGCATAACAAGAGGACAAAGACTTAACATAAAACATCATGTCAGGTGTGTGTCTGACAGAAACTGTTGGCAGCCGCATCAACAGCAGACTACTGGACTTTAAGTGCTAAATATATATTGATTCTAACACTTGATTGTATCTCAGAGAGGATCGTGGAATCATTCCATCTAAAAACACCCACAGTTGGTGGTTTCAATGTTTTAACCCAGCAACATAAAAGGTGGACACATTCTATAATTAGGTACTTGTAGCAGATGAAACATGTTCATGAAAGAAAGCATTTAGTGTAAGCTTTATATAAAATGTCAGAGTACACAACATGCGATTGGAAGAAATCCATACAAGTTCAACCAGCGCATAAAATGTAATTAGATGCTCCTAGGACCGTGTACATGGAGGCTTTGTCCTTCTAATAATGGTACTTCTTTTCTGTTTGCAGTGTACGTGATATAATGCACTAACTATGGCATTAATGTGGGATGGGACAATTGAAGTGTCTTAGTTCAGTAGAAGTGTAAACACAGGCTGCAGCAGTGTAAACACAGCTTAATGATATTATTCAGAAAGAGTTGAATACATGGATCAGGAACAAACAGACCAGAGTCGGACAGCAGTGCAGTGAGACTAGGCTAAAAGCCATTCATTGTGATATTCAGTGTGAAGCTGATATCAGAAAGTCAATAATGTCAACACTGTATAATGTTATGAACCCAACACAGATAGAAACACTTACTGTTCTAATACAGAAGGAGGATTCACCAGATATATCATGGGTAAAGGCGAAATCCTTACCATTTAACCCCAACAGGAAAGCATAATGTCTCTCAATCATGACAAAAAATGCTTCTACAGTACCAGTACCTACAGAGGAAGACACATACTCAGTGATTTTGGGGACATTTTAAAAGTCAGTTCAGTGAACTGTGTGTCTGAATTGAAACAGGGACAGTAAAGCCACAGAAGAGTACTTGTGGTGAGGGGAAGATAACAAAAATAAAGCAAAACCAGGCAGAACTTAAGAGTTACAAGCTTTGAGTCGTAATTGGGTTTTTCTTAATGTGTGGCCACCAGGAGCTATTGTTTTGACTTGGGAGTAAACCCATGTTTTTCATTTTGAAATAACTCTTAGACTAGTGATATCACTGGTTAGTCGTCTCCTTAGTCAATGAATGGGACATTTAATCTGATGATCCATTATTTATATGATAGTCTTTAAACATAAATAAGTTGAAAAAGCTCTGTTTAGCATCCAATTGCTTTAGATTTTGGAAAAACTGACAAGTAAATTATTGAAATTAGGCAACAGGGGATCAAATGAAAGAGGCCGTTACTTTGATTGAAATAAGGGATTTCTCTAAGTTTCAAAGCTGTTGGAAAGATTTTGGATAATGTCAATACAGAACTCAACAAATTATATAAACCATAGTCCTAGTTGTTTTTCGACAATATAATGCGTACATTATTTTGCTTGATATCTTTCATTTCTGTTCTTATGAGAGGAGGTTATTGATTCTTGGTAATTATTTTGTGTAAAAAATATTAATTGTATAAGCTCAAAAGGCCTTTTAAGATTACATTGACATTAAGATTTGTCAAAATAGAAAAAAGCACAAAAATGATGAGACTGATTGAATCAAGAGTCCCAGTAAGTCATGACAGTGAGCTACCATGGAAACTGAAGCAGCTAATTAGAAATGAAATCATTCATTTGGTTAAACAGTCCTTTTTCATACTGTGACATGTCACAATGTCTTCCATCCAAAAGGCCTCGAACTCGTGTGCTTTTCCTAGTGTGATGCCAGATTGCACTGACCCTGCTTGTTTGAGGGAGGATAGAAGGAAATGATAGAAACTCATTTACTGGGAAGCAGACTAACCTGGTGGCCTCTCATTCTCTGGAAGTGTCCGATGGTGTCGCTGATGGTGTACACTCGCACGTGGCCCATGTGCAGTCGCCCCGAAGGGTACGGAAACATGGAGAGGACATAAAACTTCTTCTTCACTGAACTCTGAGGAAACAAAACAATGTAATGGGATGAAAAAAAATGTACGTAAAACTTTATTTGAATTGTGAGAAAACACAATAATGGTTAATCCATCATCAGTGGGGGGCTTGTGTACAATATGCTGCATTAACCTGACGAAGTCATGACAGGCGTAATAACTCATCTCCTACAGAGCGAGAGCACTGACTGACTTCTGGTGTGTGTCGGTGTCTGATTATAAATGGTTTACAGTCACAAGTTCACAACACAGTTACCAAGGCAACACACTAAGTACTGGTTACACCCAGTTATACGTGATTACAGGAAACCCGAGTCATGAATTTTTCAATAAATTAATTAGGGACCAGGGCTGTCTTGAATGCACTTAATCACTGTCGGCCCGTCCCAGACTGATGCACGGTGCGACCATTAGGATTTATAATCAGCCGGAGCTGCAAGCGCCAGACCCCGTTAGAGCTGGAAGGATGTGGAAGGATGTGGAAGGATGTGGAAGGATGCAAGACGACATCATTATCTAAACTATAATAATTTCATTCATTTATCTAAACTGTGCACACATACATCTATTTAACATTTTAAGTATTTACTCATTCAATGGGACTACCGGTGGTGTTCATTTTGTCAACAAAAAACATTACCCCAAACACTAAGTGTAACAATTTCAACATGCAATATCTTTGATGAAAAATGCAGTAGAAAAAATGCAATCTTTATATCTAAAAACTAAACAAAAATCCCTTTTTTTAATATATATTTTGGGCCAGAGAGTGCCTTTATTGATAGATACAGTGTTGAAAGGGGAAGACAGATGGGAGGACAAAAGGAAAGTTCCATAACAGAATTCAAAACTGCAAACTGGGCAACGGACAGCTCTTTTTGATTTAATTGAGGTCGAATATAATATGATAACTAAAACTAACTAAAACATTGGTAACAGTTTTCATTGACTTTTTCTAATAAGTTACATTTTTCTTTGACTAAAATAGACTAAAATGTCGAGGCCTTGTAGTCAACTAATATTTAACAACAAAAAACAGGATGTTTGCATTTGCCTAATTTTGCATACAACCCTAATTATTTGCACATTGAGTTGGTCTTTTACTCATGACATGGGCCTGGGAGGTAAGGATATCATAATGCACCACATTAAATGGTGATTAACATGCAATGTAGTGAAAATAAAGTCAATAGGGTGTCATATCTAAAATAAGGATAAGGCGTTTACGTGCCACAGTATCCAGGTTAACGGGATAAGGGCCTAACCAGGTTTCTAAATCGAGTGTACACACTCAAAAAATAAAGCCAATCAACCAAAAGACCATGACGAAGATGTATTTTTGGAAAATCCCAAGGTTAAAGACAATAGGTGTGAAGTGTGAAGGCCTTCTTACCTCCTTCAGTGCATCCTTCCTCCACTGTGCCATAATTCGTGGGTGCCACCATTCTTCCACCTTGCGTCGGGTCTCTGATTTGTAGTCCTTCTCCCACTCTCCCGTCTCACTGAGCAGGGTGCGGGTGCTGGGGGGGAGGAGGCGGGCCGCGGGGCTCAGGAGAGCTCCTCTTATCAGGCAGGACCGGGCAGCACCCAGGGGAACCAGAGCCAGCCTTCTCACGGACGCCTGCATGCTTCCTCACCTGAAACAGAGCAGGTACAGTTAAAGAGCGGTTCAGTGGACAGGAGGGTGCTGTCAGGGAATAAATGAAATATCCAGAGGTGGGTTGACTTCAAGATCAGAGGTGTGTTCCTGTACTTATATTTATTGTATTTCTTTCTAAGTTAATACATATTTCTTTAGCTTTTGTAATTTTTCTGCCTATTGATTCCAATGTTTTTTGTTTGTTAAATGTAGTATTTCCTATGAAATTTGGATTTGTTTTACTTAACTCTAACACAGAAAATACCTGTCTATGCTGCCCCAGAACGCCTCGTTGGAGATTTTTTTTTGACGGCAGGTTGACGTCACTAAGTCCAAATGGACCAATTGGTCCAAATGGACCAATCCGCGGAGCTCCGCACACACACTCACTCAGCCTGAGCTCACCGCGGAGCTCAGACCCCACGCAGCAACCAGGAAACGACACCAGTAATCCACCTCACACTGTCCGCTCCTCGAGCCTCACAGGGCGGACCAGCGAGCCCCGCAACGTCCCGCCAACACGGCACCCAGACCCCACGCAGCATTCTCATCTGTTTGTCATTACTGGTGTCATTTTCTGGTTGCTAACAAACGCCATTGTAAAACATAAACACTAATGTTCAGCTGTAACGGTGGCTGACCAATCAGAGCACAGTGGGCGAGCTGACCAATCAGAGCACAGTGGGCTCACAGAGCAGGAGCTCCAACAAGCCGTTTAGGACAGAGAGTGAATACACATACTATACAGAGATGCTGTATGAGAAAACTAATGTGAGTTTGGAACATTGAACAATGTAAATCTATTCTAGTAGACCTCAACAATGGAATTATGATCAGTAGAAATGGCCAAGACATGGGACCTTTAATATATGTGAATGCACATAAATGTAGTTCCTTTTGAAATGGAAATTAACATTGACCTTACGGTGTGCTACAATCTTTGAACTTCAGAAATATATTTTATTACTCATGCATTTACCAGTTTCCACCCAAAGAAAAACATAACTTATGCTGAATGTTCAGGTGAGTGCTCAGGGTAGTTTCTAATGTCGGCATGCACGATATTGACCACACTAAAAAAAAGTTAATCTAATCCACAGAAATGCTTTTACCCTCGGACAATAATTAATCACACACAATGGCTTTGTGTGCAATTCGCTCAAGCACTGAAAATGCCACAAGATGACACCCCTTCAAAATCATCACCGGTGCATGGGAGTCCGGGACCTTCGGCTCTGCAGATTTTCTCTCTCAGTTCCAACGTCAATCACACAACAACAGCCTGGCGTTGTGAAATAAGAGGTTTATTCAGCGTGATGTGATTACGCTCTGCTTTGGACAGGCTGTTCTTATTCAAGTGCATGCCAGCTCAGATGTGAGAATGACATTTTCAATCAAATTAATTACAATTATTCACCGATTTCTCTGCCACAAATCTGCTCATCAGTTTGCGCCTAAATACTCGAACAGCCTTGGGTATCTGACAGTAATTACATGTGGTAATTAAAACGGATTGAATGCTGAACTACAGGGTTATCAAAAACAGGATAAAAATGACTCATTTCTCAAATTAACAACTCAGATTTGACTGTGGGTACTTCAAAAAAGTTTGACACTCTTTTGCATGAGCACAGCAGTGAAGCTCGACCCCCCTGTGGTTCAATGTAGGTCAAACACTCAACTAGAAGTGAGAAAAACATTTTGACCCAAATTTGTCTGACAGTTTCCAAGGTAACCTGGGATATACATAAAATCTCTTCACCTCCGTGGTAGCAGAAGACGACTGTTGCTAACCCGACCCGTCCAAGAGAATATTTTTACAGCAGTGACATATCTGGATCTCAGAGAGCGAGACTTTTATAGCTGCTCAGTGAAACAAGGGGATAATTAGCACACCAGAGATACAGATATAAATGGGGTAAATACAAAGTAGGTCTGTTCATCTATAGCTGTGGGAGCAATTAAAAAGGTTGTTCTATGTTCTGTGATGTTAAGAGAAAACAAATCTGTTGATTATATCAGTGGAAATAAATGTAGACTCCTGTATGGTATGAGTCAAATCATATTATTTTCACCAGCAGATAACAATTGTGGATTACAGCAAATAAACAAAGTGCAAATTAAATGAGTGTCACTCAAATGGAAGAAACGTCAAGGATTTACTGACCAGGGGGACAGATCTTCTGAGGATAGCTCTGAGGTTTTTTTCAACTAAATGAGTGCGACACCAGAGAAGGGTGCTCGCCCCCCTCCTCTCCTCTTCTCTCACCCACCTGCTTGTGGGAATGTGTTTTTCACTAAATTCACCAGAGTATAACCTGAGTCTCGCAGCAGCCGACAATCCTCCCTCAGGCTCAGGCCGGGAGACGAGCACTCAAGGTTGTGTACATCTCTGAAGGTGCAAGTGAGTGGGCTGAGGCGAGAGACTGAGAAAATGTTTCTATGGTGACTGGGCTCAACCGTTCGGGTGTCTCCTATTCAGAGTGACTGAAAACTTCTGCAAGCAACACGCTGGTTCACCACAGCAGAGGAGGGCCAAGCTTTATCTGAACATCTGTAGCTGTTGGTCATGTCTACAGCCTGGTATCACACTACAGTACTTGTTGTACGGACTTTTCTACTTTATACTGACGAATACTGACAGTTGGAGTTCTTCTGGCTGTTGCTACACTTATCTTCAGATATTTCATCTTAAATTAGCTCATTCAATACTATATTTTATTCAGAAAAATACTTATATGGTTGTTTTATATTATGACACATTAAACACTGTTGCACTTGGGAAAGTTTGACTTTTAGAAGTTGTATTTTGTTCAACAGAAAAGGGAAAATGAATTTTAATAGATTCCAAATCAATGCAGCATTACAAAACGGGACGAGTCGGACAAACTTTAATTTTGAATTAATATTTGAATGAAAGTCTTTTGTTGCACAATTTTTTTTAGCAGAGATAAATAAATATAACAATAAATGAATATCCGTTTTACATCAAATATTCATAAATTCATGTATTGATGTTACATATTGATATTTCCTTTATAAACAAAAGGTGTGTCCTCCTCGTCCAGTATAATAATAATAATTTCAGGTACAGATTGGATTTATTGAAAATACATAATTAAAACACTGCTGATTTTTTCATAAAGATATTCATATAAAATAATAATATAAAGTACTACAAATCAAAGAAAATAAAGAGGTGTGTCTCGATTGTCCAGTGTAGGAATAATATCTGATATGGATTTGGAGCCACTTTTTAAATCTAGCTATTTAAAAAAAAAATAATAATTATCTTATGTTAAAATATGTATGGAAAAGCAATTCATGAATCATGACATAAGTAATGAAAAGAGGCGTGCCAAATAAGCTGAATAGCTGAATTTCAAGTTACTCATCGACTATAACACGTTTTTTGTCCGTTTTTGATGGTGCTAAAGTGAAACCCTGGCTCACTGCAGACAGTCTCTGAAACTGAGGAAGAAGAGAGACTGTCTGTCAAATATGTCCTTGTCTGTGTAGCAGATCCTCATCCAACACATACTTTAAAGGTGGTTCTGATCTTACTAGTTAAACATGAGGACAACTTCATGCAACGAAATTGTAACTTGCATAACGTTAGTTTCACTACACTATAATAAGATAAATGTAAAAAAAAAATACAATAGCCAATATGTGTGCTAGCATGTCATTGATTTAGATTATAGGTGTATCTTTCTGGTCCTCTGTTAGCTACAAATATAAAACGTACATCTGCTGGATTAGCTCTTGTATATCTACTACTGGTTCCCCTCGTATACTGTTAGTTATATAGCCTACATATATAGTTAAATAGATATATTTATATACTGTAACGTTACAGTCAGAGGTTGCACAGTTACAGTGAAAATGAAACTGAGGGACATTTTAGAAAAACATCAGTTTTAAGCTTCTTACTGTTTTATTTCCAGGTCCTTTAATTCCGCGTTATGATCGTGATGACATACATCCAATAGTCCATGTTATTTATGTCGTATTCATGTTTTAAATGAGCTATACATGACTTATTTCTGGGATCACGACTTCACCACAGGCGCCGCCATCTTGAATTTGAATAAACTTTATCAGCACAGTCTACATCGACAACGACAAAACAAAACCTGTATTATTTTATACCATAAGCGACATTTGTTTATACGACATGCCTTTCTGATGTGATAGTTTTTAAGATATGACTATTTTTGATTAAAACTTCTCAGTTATTTTTATGTTATTTTATTTTATATTTCAACCAGACCACTAAGGTCCTCCTTCTTTCACATGCCGAACGTGTGCGTGTGTGCGTGCGTGTGTGTGTGTGTGTGTGTGTGTGTGTGTGTGTGTCTGTTCTTGCAAGATCTTAATTGTTCTTCTCAGTTATTTAAGTGAGATGATGTCACTGCTTGTTACCTTAGCAACTCTGTAATCTCCTCCTGTTATTAATTCTCATTTTTCATTGAAAAAAATTATTACTCCAGTTAATTTACTGCCTCTAGATACAGAGCAGTGTTTTGCACATCTAAAATAACCTGAACATGCACATTTGACAGAATAAATTGCATTCATTGTCAAGAATCTCATTTTCATTTGTAATTCTGCCTGATGGGGATTCTTAAAACATTTTTTTTTTTTAAAAGGTTAATCGATTTAAACTATTGCCTGGAAAATAAATTATTAACTGATGATTTATCTGTGTCAAATGATAAGAACAACATTTGGGTTGCCAGGTTCGTAAGATTTCTATTGATGGTGTCCTTCATTGGATATATAACAAAGTTATGTTTACATTGCATAATTTATTAGTCATGGGTCTTTTACTCTGATAAACTATACAATTGTAATTTGGTATAGATGCTTTGCAGCTGTTTTGCCGTTGGTTAGTGTTGTAAAATGTTTGTTTTTTAAATTGAAAAGGGTATTTTAGAATCAGAGTCAAAAACATGTTTTTATTAATGATTCATAGACTTAAATAAAGCAATAACTTTAGATTTCCTATTAATTAACACGTTTTTTTACACTTGATAGCATCTTATAAAGAGTGCAAGAAACCAGTTGATTCTAAATAGAACAAGAAAAAAAACACATAGGCCTACATGGAATGTACATAATTTATTCTTGTATTCACAACATTTTGGCATTTAAATCAAATCAAATCACAGTCCTAGATGAAGATACTTACCAAAAATGTGGAAAAAAAAATAATAAATCCATGACACATATTTACCGCCAACAGCACTACAGAAGCTTTCATTATACATGATTTTAGAGAGGAGCCCATATTTCTTTGATGCTAACATCTAGTGTTAAGTGATTGCTGAATGAGAGAGCACCTTAACTCACTCTCATCTTCATCACATAGCAAAAGGGCTCTGAGGAGGGAGATGACGAGGAGGAGGAAAGGAGACTCATCAGAGCCCCTTCTCTACGAGTTCTCACCTTTGATTTGACATGAAGGAGTGAAGGGAAAATGGAGGTTGGGAAATTATCAGCAGGAGATAGAGTTCCCAGCCTGACGTCACAGAGCTAAACCTGCAGCTCTGCTCCGGGCTGCCGTCGTATATCAGAGCTAAGTGGGCAGCTCTGCTCAGGGCACAACAGGATGTGGATGAAGAGGAGGAATGAGAGCGGGAAATGGGTTTTTGACACAGTTGAGACACTAACTCTACACTACAGCCAGAGATCTGTCTGCAGATACAGAAGAGGCTCCCTGATGAATGTATCTCATACTCACTTCCTCATCATGATGAATGGTATTTTATTATTTGTTCAAAATTGAAATTCCTGCTGAAATCCAACACTTGGAATACATTTTTTCCTGCAGCTCTGTGTCACTGATCCTCACTGCTCAAAAGCATAACGCTGTTTCGCAAAGCTAGGAAAATATAAGAGCACCAATATGATGGATGAAAAAGCTGAACTAAGGTCAGACAAAGGTGAGCTTGAATGTCACTTTTTCAAGGCAGCCTTCATTGAAGGGCTTTCATGTTAAGAGTCAATATAACGGTTTGAACTTTACACCAGATCTAAAGCAATGGAAGAATAATCACTCACATGACAGCACAGACACCATTTTAAACGTGCAGTGTTTAACTTTGTGATTTAACCCTCCTGTTGTGTTCGTTTCCCCCCCCTTACTTTGGTGTTCGTGGTCAAATTTGACCGGTAACTGCTATTACATTAACACAAAAAACATTAATCATCACCAAATTTCATTTAACACCCTTTCAAACTGTAAATATTGTATCAGACTACTGGTATACATGAACAACTGCTGTAAATATGCAAAGAATAGACACTGAACATGTATTGCGTGTGCCAGGTGTGATCTATGTGGGGGGATGGGCACATAAGAGCGGGAAATGTATAAAATTGTGTGTGTGTGTGTGTGTGTGTGTGTGTGTGTGTGTGTGTGTGTGTGTGTGTGTGTGTGTGTGTGTGTGTGTGTTTTTTATCTGATCCGGATGGTTACTAATTCCTTTTCTTTATGGCGGTCACACCATGGGTGTTACATAGTTGACTAAATCATCCAAAATTCAGATTTGACCCGAACACAACAGGAGGGTTAGAGCATGTATCCTGACGTTCAAAACAGATCCAGTCCCTTTATATACGAGGAATGAATTTCACGAGTATGCTTTTATGAGATAAACAACATGAAAATCACATAGAAGAAACAAACACGACACAACAAAAACTCTCATGGTTTTATTCCAACCAGAGACCTACAACCTTTTGAACCCCTTTATCTTCTTGCACTTACTGTCTGTATAAAATATAAAAAGAAAAATCACAACAAAAAGATATTATTGGCCTGTAGCAAGCCCCTGAACCTAATAAAAAAAGAAAGAAGAATCTATCCCAACAGTGTGTTTACTGTTTGCTTGTGGCTTTTTTTTATACCAATAAAACTTTAAATCAACAACATAAATGGTAATATTTAAAGAAAATCTTATTTTAGCTAACTTAAAACCAGGGATGTTCCCTTTTTTGTTGAAAAGTTTTCAGGGTAACATAAACATTTGATGATGTGAGGTCTGTATTTATTCTGCTGGGGGTCGATATTCTTTCAAATGAATGGTCCTCTCACAACGTGCTGTATACACAGAAATGATAGGTATCATATAACTGGAGCAGATGGAGGCACGATGTCCTCAGGGAGCGTCTGAGTGAGCAAAGCCAATTAATTGCTGAAGCTCTGTGGAGAAAGAACAAACTGAAATAAAACTTGGAAACAGTTCTGTTAAAGTCTCATCCTCTTTCCAGCTGCCAGCTTTGTCTCTGTGCTCCACTTCTTTATATGTTACTGTAATTAAAAAAACATGGCAGGGCTCCTCAGTTTAAGTCTTTTAATCATTTATTTTTGGGTTGCATTAAAGTTTTGCATTTTCGGACTGCTAAATCGGAGTCTAAGGTACAAGCAGCCACTGTTGTTTTTCAAACAAATCACTTTTTGAAAGCAACCACTCATCCTCCTTCTCCACCCACATCCGCCTCCCCCGATCCCACACGACAAACAGCCCACGGTAATCACCCCTCTCGCCCTGTTTCGGAGGACGATTGCATTTCACTAGCAGAGAACCAGATGACAAACGACCATGTAGAGCGGCCGCAGCAGCAGTGCGTAAGCTAGAAAGCAGATGAGGGGAGAGAGGGGGGGGGGGGGGGTCTGACTTGTCTTCACCTGTCCAGGATGACCTTTGTGGACGGGGTGTGTGATTCACATGCACTTCAATGAGTTGCCGCAGAGAAGCAATCTCACACCATCTCAGCTCCCCGAGAGCGGCGAGGAGCTGATGGGCCTCTGCACGCCTCTGACTCTGATCCAGAGAGCCTGATAAGTGTGATGTTATTTCTAGGACCGGTTTCACATCGTCAACCCCTTGTGTCCTCCACTTATCTGTTATCATGGAGACCCCAGAGAGAAACACTGTGGTACAGAGGCGATGAGGAGGTTCGGATCTGGAACAAGATCTTAAAGAATCTGTCTGGCAGCGTCCCGCTCATCTTCCAATTTTTTCCAACTCAAATGCAGATTCTGCAACAGACAAGCTGTTCAAAACATTTGTTACATCTTCCCCCAGACTCCCACTCCACTTTGCCTGATTTCTGAGTAGCTCCTTTGCAATTAATGTAGCTAATTAGAGTACGACTCCTTAGATCCCTCTGCACTCTCTCACAAGATTACACTTAAACCGGCTGTAATAGAGGCAAATTACAGATACAAATACACTGAGTTTTAAATGGGTTCCTACAAATGTTCATGAGCATTTTAACAGCCCTCCTTTCACTTAAAGCTTAACACTGAGTAATTGGGATCTGTTTAACAATTATGAGCAACGGTTGAAAGTGACTATTTACTCTCCATTTTGGTACAGTATATGCTCACTTTTGAGATTTCAAGAGTGACATCAGTAAACATAATCAAACTATAGATAACATTCAGTGACACACACAGTTCCATATAGGTTCAGTAGTTTGATTGATAGGTACTAGGGTAATATTTTACCTGTTCAGTTTACAGTTTGGTTACCTGTCCTTTCGGCCTGCAGGCATCAGCTCATACTCTTTGCTAATGGTGTCTTTTGTGTCACAGCTGATTTTAGGATCTGCTTTTTCCTCAAATATTTTCCTGAAAAGAAGATGGGGGCAGAACGGCAATTACTTTTCCAGATCTTCTGATCAGGAGTTGTGATTTAGATTTAACAGATAGGTTACGAAACACTGATGTGAAGCCATAAAGAATAATACATTCAAAGGCTGCCCATAAAATATTTGTATCCACTCTAAGTAACACGAGCCTTCACAGAAAAGCAGACATTATACTGCAGATTTGCAAACCATACTCCACTTGATGAGCCCATTGTAACTGTGAATCACGGTAAATACCTACTTGTACGTTGTAACCTCTTCAACTCTCTCCACACTGACAATTGTGCTGTGGTTCACCAACAGACCTATGATCAAGACCATATCTTTCTTTTTTTTATGTTTACCATTCAGTTATGCCCCTCACACCACTGCATAAACTCTTCTATCTCTGAACTTCTATAAAGCGTCTGAA